TTTTTTTTATATTTGTATTACTTTTGGCTGTTTCAAAATAATTTTCATTTTATCCTGCGGTATAAAAAATATAAAAAATTTTGTTCTGCTTCTTATTGCGTTTGTCCGAGATCAATTCATGAGTAACTATATCAGGAAATATTTAAGAAAACATTAAGTTTTAGGATGAATAAGTACAACTTACCATTTGCTGTATTGAAGGAATACACATGCACTTATGTTATATCATTAATAAAGATGTACTCGTATATTGGAGGATGAACTTAATTCAATTTTAATTTAAGAGAATATTATGAATAACCCATAATTTACGGTACATTTTTTTTACTAAAGTGGTATTTAAAGAGGTTGAAATTTAAATGAAGATTTTCTTTTATTCTTCATTTTAAAATGTACAGGTCCACTAACTCAGCATATCTTTGTGTATTCGTAGTCCCCATCGAGTACAACAGTACAGTGTGCTTTTTTATAATAGATATTGAAAAGTATCTTTTGAAATTATATCAAAAAACCAGATGTTAAATCGACAAGAAGACTCAACTTTTAATGATGTGCTAGCGATGTCCAGTTGCTAGTCCTATAACCTATCTGCTTTGACTCAATTTGAGTGTATAACTCATTGATTAAAGCCGGTCTTCCGAATAATCTAGTTAATTTAAATGAAATTTTTGTAAAAACAAATTATTCTTCTTGTTGCTGAAGTGATCAAAAATTATATGAGCAAAATATACGTCGTGTTACGTCACGCCACATTGCGTAACGTTACGTCACTTCAAGTTACGTCACGTCACTTCACATCGCGTCATGTCAGCTACATATAAATTACTTAATTTTCCCCCAAGTTTCATCATGAGCCATTGCATCTATAACGACACAACATCATACTTTCCGACTTAAGTCGTTACAGCCATTCAAAAAATTTCTCCTTAAACTAAACATACAATATTGGTATAATCGATTAGCTCAAATATCCGTTTACATACCATTTAATGTGTTGGATTTGGCATGTGGAATACAAAAATTCTTAAATATTTTGTGAATTAGCTATTTAACCAAATTTTTAATATCATGCTACCAAAATAAATACTTCTGTTAAACGGATTGTTAAAATAACACGTTATTGTCTTCTAAACTGCGATTAAGTAGAATATTTCCGATTATAAATGTAAATTTTTTATTACATAACCACATTTAGGTCTCTGATTGAACCCCTATCTTCTTAACCCCCTTTAACAGTTTATAAAATTTTGAAAAAACGCCTACATTTCATGAATCTTCCAAATATATTTTTCATGTCGAATAATTGTAATCTGAACAATTTAAAAACGCCTACAAGATTTTTTTTTTTTGTTTTTTGAAAATTTTCTGGTTAAAAATAATAAAATTTTATTTAAATGATTTGGACTCATCCTTCGCGAAGTGTGTCTTTTATAAAAGATGAAAAAATTATTAAGAAATTTAAAATAAATAAATTGTTGTTCTTTTATTTTTGCAACTCATTTCCAAAAACGAAAAATAACAAGATTTCTTCGAAAAATATAATTTTTCTCTCAAAAATATTAAAAAATATTTAAAATCTAATAATAATCAAATTAATGTACGCGTTAAATTTGAAAGCGTCATAAAATTCAAAATCATTTTGTGGGCATCAATTCTGATTAATACTAAATTAAGTTTAAAATGAATGATGGCTTGAACGGTATGTCCTCGTAAATAATTCAATTAATTTAATTACGTTGTGAGTGATTTAAAACAAAGATGGATTCCATTTTTGAAATTTTGACTAAAATCTTAAATTATTTGTAAGATACCTAATTAAAAACGTTAGTCATTTTGCTTTCTTTCTACGTAATAAACAAATCATTTTAGTATGCCCCTAAAAGTATGCAAATTTTAATCAAGAGTAAAATTAAAGGCATACAAGTTCATTGTCACTTTCTTTTCAACTTAAGAGCGACTGAATATTATCAAAATAATATTGGTGTGTAATTTAAACGCTGTTCTATCGTTAATACTGCTTTACAGTTCACAATTTCTCTTTACCACGCCTCAACCTAAATAATCAAAATATCAAATTTTATTGATTATTATTTTTATTACGAGTATCAATAAAATTTGATTATTAAGAACTTGATTATTTTTATAATACTATTGAGTTTTTATCACTTTATTAAAATACTACGAAATCTTTAAGTAAATTAATTATAATGTACTTGTAAATTTTTATGTAATCAAGTATGAAAAACAAAACAATATTGTAGAAATTTTCTTTTATTCCCAAAAGACTTTCTAATTAAATAAAAAAAATTTACAAGGCAATTTAATTATAAAAGAATTGTAATTCAAAAATATTTTTATTAAGAAATTCAATAAATTGAAAGCAATTTAATTATTAAAATACGCGAAAAAACTTGAATAATGGAAAAATAAAAAAAAAAACAATTGAAATTTTGTAAATTTTTGTAAGTTTATCCTTCAATTCAAAAATTAAAAAGGTTTCTCATAATTGAAATTATTTGTTCATATAAAAAATAAAAAATTCAATATTATCATTTAATTATTAAATTAAAAATTTTTCTTCTGAAGACTCTTTAAGGTTTCGTGAAATAAAATCTGAGTGCGTAATGCTCACATTCAATTTCAAATGACCGCTTCAACAAGATGTGGACGAACAATATGCAGGAAAGTCGAATTGAAATTCCATTCCATGCTTTGCGGAACGCTTTGTTGTTTGTCTTTGTTGGATACGGCATGAATAATAAGCTAAACATATCCCCTGTATTGCCGTATCCGGGAATTATAATAATTAGGTTTACAATTTAAAGAATTAAACCGTAAATAATTCTGACTTGGTTACAGTTAACATAAATTTTTGTTTTGAAAAAATGTTTTACGCGTAGAAGTGATATTTGGGAAATCTCATTGGAAATTAGGCATAACTTGTAACTTGACGTTTTCGAATCAATTCAAAGTCACCTCCAAGTACTTGACTGTATTGAAAACTAAATCATCTGTAAAAAAATTTTATCCTGCGTTTGCAAAACAAAAAAAAAACTTTCAAAATATTCAAATATTAAAAAAATATTATTTTTTTTAATTGATGCCGTCATTACGTCGATATACCCACTATATATAAATTGTCATGCCACACCCTATACACAAAACCCATGCTATAATATTGCGTACATAATGTTATAAGAAAAAAAAAATTGAATATTACTATTATAATCTCTATGTCTATATAGAATATTCATAATGCATTTAAAGTAACTGTTATACTAAAATACATATATATATATATTTATGTGTAGAAATGAAAAAATATATCGACTATGGGAACGGCATTTAAACTATCTATAGATACAGCTTGACATTTTTCATTATTGAAAGTGGAGCCACATTACTGAGAAGCCACAATATTCTATGTTATATCATATACATATATATATATAATATGTTAATAATGAATTCACTATTGCATACTGCTATGACAGTACACGTTATAATTATAATATTTTCTCTTTTATATTATACTAAGCGCACAAAGTATATAATTTCGTATTAAGCACATCAATATGAGTAAGTGTATTATGTATATTTATAATACAATAATCACTAGAATTTCAATGTATGTATATTTGTATAAAAGATATCATACATTATTCTAGAATATAAAATGTCCTGTATTATGTACATATATAATTTTAGAATGTAGTGATTTCTTAGCAGATATTTGTGTTAAAAAATTAGGTAAATTACTGAGTAGAATTCAATGATATAAGTAAAATAATTTGGAATAGCAAACTATAGGATATTAAATTTAAAATGCAACATTTAAAGAATTTATCATTAGTTCAAAGAAAATTTAATAATTTATTTAAAATTGAAGTTCTATTGAAGTTCTATTGAATCACTCACTATTCCTTGGACACATTATACACAAACAACAATACTTATAAAATTTCTATTGAATTTATTAAATCTCCACTGCAAATAACAAAAATTAAGCTATTTATTAAGAACAAATACAGAATAAATTGTTATCTACCTCTTTTTTAGCTCCCTAACTTTTATATTTTCCGTCTCCGAGGTCTTGTATTACATCTAATAATAACCATGACATATTTTCAAACTGAATATTTAAAACGAAATATTAAATTTATAATAATACGCTTAAAATGTAATATGGCTCAATAAGAATGATATGAAAACAAACAATAAATTTAATTTAGAAAAGGATACACAAGGATAATTTTGTTTTTATTGTTCTTTTACTGTATTTTTTTATTTTTACTTTAGCAGCATGTAGAACAATATCAAGGTCATAAGAAAATTCCAGGAAGAAAATAAATTTTTTTTTTTTTTTTTTTTTTTTTTATAATTTAATATTGCCGTGAACTATTAAAGTTTATGAAATTTTATTTAAGAAAACTTTTTAAATTGATTCAAAATATTTTAGAAAATTTATCAAAAATGAATAATGAATAATGAATATATTAATCTGCATGAGTGTTTGGATTCTCCAACTCATCTAACATCTAAGAGTTGGAGAAATTTGAATTCTTGCAAACAATTGATATTCTTTTGAGCTTAGTTCACAGGCAAGTGGAAGAGTATTACTCTCACTTGCTGCATATTGCAGGAAATTATCTTATATAATATAAAAGTTTTTGTAGTTTTAGAACGTTTTGTTGTTATTCTAAAAAATACCCATGGGAATGGTATTATTGGAATTAAGTGATTTCATAAGCTTAGACTAATAAATTACTAAAATTATAGTGGTCTAAATTGGTAATTATAACCAAAATTCACTAGAAAATTTTCGTAAACAGAAACTAGTATTTGCTACTAAATTATTTTAATTCTGTGAGGAAAGTGGAAAATTATCTGACAAGAAAGTCATTCCTCAAAACGCATATTCTTGACACCCCATTCATTCATAATTTTATTGAAATTTCAAATTTATTTTCGAATAATAATAAAAATTATCATTTTTATAGAGGACAATTAAAAATTTTACTCAAAAACAAATAAATTAAAAATTTATTAAAGAATATTTTTTTAAGTGAATGAAAAAAAGGATATGAATTTACTATAAACTTCAAGTTCTAGATAAAATATTTGTGTCTTAAAATAAAAATTGAAATACAAAATATGTAAGTGAATTTTGAAGCAATTTTTAAAAATCCACCAAAGGTAAGAAAAAATTAATAATTATTTCAATGTAAAAAATTAAAGTAAAAAAAAAAAAAATTGTAATAATGGGTGATAAAGAAGAATTAACAGAAACAAAAACTAATCAAAGTCCAAATAATAAATCAACACATCATCAGCTTGAACAAAGATATTTAGATTTAGAACAATGCTCAAATATAAGACCAAAAGATTTATTACAAAAACGTAAATCAGATCCTGGTCAACAAACAAATCGTATTGTTGTTATACAACCATCAACTGAATCAATGAATTTTGATGATGACGATGATGACGATGATGATGACGATGATGATGATGATGATGATGATAGAGATGGTAATGATGATAATGATGATAAAAATGACAATGATAATAAAGATTGTAATAGTGAAATATTAAAAGACAAAAAAATACAAAAACGTCCGCGTGATTTCGGTACGGATTATAAAAAAACTGGTGTTTGTAGTGATTTTAATACAAGTAATAATATTAGAAAAAATAGTGATAATAGTAATATTGATAATGATGGTGATAATACACCAAATAGTAATGATGTTAGTCCTAGATCAGAAAGATCACATTCAATATGTTCACGTAATTTATTTTCAACAAGATCATTAAGATATCCAACTGGTAGTTCAAGTGGTTTATCAAATTTAAGTGGTTATACAACAAGAAAATGTGTATTAACATTAGATGGATATTCATATGTAATAGGTAAGAAATTATTTTTGATATTATTACTCGACAGATTGTTAAATAAAATTCTTATAAAATCAATATTTTTCACATCATTTGGTCACTTATCATTAATTGTCACTTCATACTTCAATAGAATTTACACTATTTACTAAATTAATAAAGAAAGAAAATCTTTCAAATCAAAATTTTTTTTTTTTTGCAAAACATTAGATTTTCGATAAAAATCGTAATACTCTTTTTTAAATTTCTAAAATTTCTCAAGATTTAATAAATTCTTTGTTGTCCAATTTGTTTAAGTGAAACGACGCAAAAATCGTAACTTTATTTTTTGGATATTTCCAAATATTTTTAAAGTCTTTATTGAATTCTTTACTATTTTATCACGCGATAAAATACATAAAAATAAAAGAGAGTTAAAAAACTCATAAAAATTCTTTAGAAAAATGACAAAACCATTAAAATTCTTTCATTTTATTTTCGTAGCGTTCGAAAGGGGGTTGATATCAGTCGGGTCATCTTCCTTTTTATTGTTAATAAGAAAATGATAATAATTTATCCAAGGTCTTTTATTATTCTATTCGAAAATAATCAAAAAGAGGAAAAACTGACAAACATAAATGAAAATAAAAGTAATAGAAAACAAAAAAAATAAAGTTGGGTCAAACCAATGGTTTGTATTGTAGTACTTTTCCCTTCAGCAAGTGAAAATTCTGCTTTTAAATACAGTCTATGTATACCTATCACACTATAAAAATTATTTTCATTCATATACAAAACTATTACTAGGATTGCATATATTTAGGATCAACGATTTATGCAGTCTTTGAAATAAAGCAAAAATTAATATAAAGTGAGATAAACATAATGCTCGATTTTAAGGGTTAATTGGGTGAGTTAAGAAAAATAATTATATTTTTTAATGTCATGGAATTTACCGTTAGCTTTTTGCGTTTATAAAAATTTGAAAAAACTTGCGGTTTCGGAAATATGAGGTGTCAAAAATTCAAATTTTACAAATTTCAAGAGACGATAACTTGAGAGGGGGTGGAGATGGAAAAAAAATTTTCTTCTGACGAAATGAACTTTTTATTAATGTCGAAAAGCCCCTAAAATTTCAAACTTCTACAGGTCTTAAAGAAAAACGACATCAAAAATTTGGAAAAAAAAGACTTTAGATAACGGTAAATTTTAACGACCATTTTGTTTTTCTAAAGTTTAACTATAGTATACCGCGCTAGGGGAAGCAAGCGGCTGCCTTTCTGCGTTTGCAAAATTTCAAAAATGCATATAGTTTCATTACAACAAATAGTTAAAAAAGGCCATTTTTAGGGTTTTGGGGGGGTATAACTTCTAGAGGGGGGAGATAGGTAAAAAATTTTTTCAGCGAAAATAAGTTTCTAGTAAAGATCTATGTACATATTAAATTTCAGCTTTCTATCTTCAAGGGTGTAGAAGTTTTGTAAACAGACACACGGACAGACGGACGGACAGAGTGAAACTAATAAGCACTTTTTTTCAAACATTTTTTGGAAAAGTGCTAAAAACAGATAAATTAAAAGTTGATCAACCAAATTCTAAGGTACATTATACAATATGCAAAGCTAATTACTTTGAGCGAGCCTTCGTTTTGGTTATTCAAAATTGAATTGGAGTAAAACGTGTTGCTAAATTCCAAGCATATTCAAACTTACTTTTAAAATCATAATATTGAAATTGCATTAATTATTATTTTTTATATGACTGGGCCAAATTAACTTCCGAAATTAGACCCAATGGCCTTCATTATATTCAAGATTATAGTAGCTGAATCAAAAGTTAAAATGTTCCTTAATTAGCATAAGATTAGTAATTTTAGATTTAATTGAAAAATCACAAATAATTGTACACTCAACATACAAAATTCATTACACCATTCAAATTATGAAATGTAAAGAGGACGAAAAATCAATGTCCTTTTTATGTTTTAAAACAAACCAATCACACACTCATACAAACATATTTCAATCATACAAGTTACCAATTTTTTTTTTTATTAAAATTTTTACTTTCTCTTTCCAAAAAAAAAAAAATTTTTTTTTTCATTTTTGAATTTTTCTTTGTTTCGATTTTTCTATTGTCCGTCCAAGTTAAAATTTCTTGATTATTTCATTTTTGTGTTATCACAGTTAACCAACTTAACAGTTTATGTTTTAACTTTTTCTTTATTTACTGTTTTTTCTTTTTCAAATTCAATATTCTTTTAATGATATAAGAGAGAATCAAAGTCCTTATAGTATAGAAACTATTACATAAACACTTAAGTATCCTTTTATATCCTTTTTCTTTTATTCAAATATAAAATAATATTTTTTATATTCTTTATGTCATATAGTAGTGGACATAGTGGTCATATGTATAAATCTGTACCAGATGGTTTTCCATTTGATTTTGTTGATATGAAATGTGGATAAATTTTCATAAAATTGCTAAATTTATCCGCTCTTATTTCTTTTCTTAGACATTCATTGCTTTTTCTCTTATTCTACAATACAAAACAAAGTGATAATAAAGAATTTAAGAAAATAATGTAAAAATATTGTAACTGATATAAAATTCTTTATTATACATAGAACTGAACTAAATATTTTGATATTTTTTAGCTTTGGTAACTGCTATTTGGGAAAAATACATAAAATGACAAACTAAATTTTAAAAGACGATGTGATGTGTAAAATGAATTGTAAGAAGAGAATGGAATTTTCAATTCCAAGTATATAGAATGTATAAATAAATTATGGTATATGAAATTAGAGATCATAGCTTGATTTACAAATTCCATTTTTACAAATTGCATTCTTTTAATATTAAAGTCGAATGAACAATATTGTTCTGGTTAAGATCTTGGTTAAAATTATTTTAGTTCAAGCTCAATTCAAAATATTCGCCCATTCTTTTCTTTGTTGCAAAGTAAATGTTATTCATTCGAAGCTATGTAAAATATTCCTATGGTTCAAATTCTCTTCATACATTTTTTATAATGTGTGATTTGACAGACAATCATACATTGTTACGATGTATGATTCAAGTGTTCTTCATAAGTGTTGTTATAATACGGTATGATTCAAAATTTTTTCTTAAATTGTTATGATGTTCGATTCAAATACTCATCATACATTTTTATGGTGTATAATATGATTCATATATTTCTCAAACGTCCTTCATAAATTGCTATGATGTATAACGTGATTTAAAAGTTCTTCATACATGGTTTTCATACATGATTTAAGAGTTCTTCATACATTGTGATATGTGTGCTTCATACGCAACATGCACTGTTATACTGTATGATTTAAAAGTTTTTCATACATGGCTTTCATACATGATTTAAGAGTTTTTCACTTGTTGGTATGATGTATGATTCAAGTTTTCTTCATACATTGTTACGAGTATGATTAATAAATGTTCTTCAAACATTGTTATGAATTATGACATACGATAATATTCAAATGTTCTTCATGGATTACTATGTTTGATGCGGACATTTTTCATTAAAATATTGTGTATGAAATTGTTTAATGAATGATAGTAAGCGTAACTGTTTATAATGAATAAAATACTTTTACTTATATAATGCAGTTATGTATGAGAGAATGTTGTTTCATACAATGTTGTGTATGAAGTAAAAGTTATTTAAACATTGTTGTGAACAAATAGAATGTTATTAAAATGTTAAAGTGTTTTTTATACATTTATACCAAAAATTTTATAAAAGACACGACTGCATATTTTTTCATGTTTAACTTTATACAAAAAAAATTTATTATCAATGTTGCATACCACAAAAGTGTTGTTAAAAACCATTTTTGTTTTCCTTTGGTTTGCGTTTCATAATAAAAATGTTAAAAATATTTAACGGAAAACACCAGGATATTTTTCTATGTATATACATGAAAAACTCCATTTTCCTTTACTTTCTTTTTTCGATCTTTTTTGTTTCCTTTTATTTTCTTCAATAAAATTTAAAATGTTGTAACTCTAAAACATTGGTTTTATTAAAATAGAGCAATAATTTTGTTTAATAGCAATTCTATCGGTACAAAATTAGAAAATTATTTTCGGTTTATGTTTGATGAAACAACACTTACGAGTGTGTTATTACGAAACCTAAAAGCTTCCATTATTTTAGCATAAGAATTTTAAAAAATTTCTCAAATCTGCAAATAGTTGATTTACCATATTTTCATTTTGAATCTACCCCATCTATTGGATACAGAGTTTTTGGTTTTTCTTTCACTGTTATGCTATTAAAAAATCGATTTAATTTTATGACAAATTTTCTTTTTTTTGTTTTTAACCGAAAATTGCGGTTTTGGTTATTACCAAAAAAATGACAAGCAATGATAGAACGTACAAAGAACAAAAAGCGATTTTCAAATCAAAAATAATGTGAAATAATAAAAAAAAACAAAACCAAAGTTCAATAACAAAGAGTGAAATTGGAATTATTGCAAATGATTTTGAATTTTCATGAAAATTAACTACAAAACTATAATATCCTTATTACCCCTATACAGGATCTTCATTTTCTTATTCATTTCGTATCCTCATGAACAATGAAAACTAAATAAAATTTTTAACAATTTTTATATAGAATTTTCATCACAATTTATGCGGTTAATAATAATGGGGAATTTAATTTTGTTTAATTTCAAAAAACAAGGTAATCTTTTGAAATTCTAAAGTAGATGCTAAGATAATTTTCCATTCTGATATAAAATTTTTGCCAATGGTTTGGTAAACTTCTACTTCTATTTTCTTTGATTTTAATTCTTCTCTTGACATTTACAATGAAATTTTTTAAAGTAAAATGCAAATTTAAGGATCTTCTATTTTGTTCCCAGCTCATGTCCTTAGAAATTTTTTAAATTTTTGAATAAAAAGAAGAAAATTGTGGGAAATGGAAAATATGCTAGAATATTAAATTTAAAATAAATTGGAATCAGATCATAAAAAGAAATATTTTATTAATTTGTTTT